CGAATTACTTAGAGATGAGTTCTCTCAGGGACTTGTCCAGTTAAACTTAGCACTTCCAAGGACTGGGGCTCCTCTCCCAGTGTTTGGCCACTTCACTGTCAAAAATATCTATTTCTTAATATCTAACCAGAATTCTCTTTGCCTGTTGGGCCTTGGCCTTCACTGTGCACTTCCTCTGAGAGGAACGTGGCTCCACCCTCCCTCCCATCTCCTATTAAGCAGTTGAAGACAGCAATAAAATCCTCGCCTAATCCTCTCTTCTTCAGACTGAAAAACCAGCTCCCTCAGCCCCACTTTGTAGCAACAGCAGTGGTGTTTCCACAGACGTATCCTGATGGTTATCCTGAAAGCCTCCTCTCCGAGCTGGGCCCCCTCACCCCTCTCATCAGCCCTGAGGAGATTTCCAAGTGGAAGATGAACTCAGCTGATGTCCTGGCTGCCTTCCTGAAAAGTCAGCCCCCAGACCGCCTGGTAGGGCCTCGGCTTTGCTTTCCTGCTCGTGTTCCCTTCCTGCTTTGAGAGCTGCTGGTTTGGGATTAACTCAGTGGGCTCCAGGATGGTTGAACCATCCCCGAGCTCCAGACGAGCAGATTTGAAACGATCCCGGGTTATTTCTGTAATTATTGCACGTTCTTCTTTGGGGGGGGGGGGTGAAAACACAACTCCTGATTCAATCACAGTAACCAAATTAAACATTTCTCCAGGCCTCAGCAGCAATTCAACGCTATGTAGGACTGGGCAATGCCTTGAATGCCACGGCCCTGGATGCCATCGGGACGAGATACGTGTGCCTGCTGAACGCCACGGAGCTGAAGGCCATAGAGCCCAGCAGCCTCAGGTGAGCCACAAACTGGGATCTTCTTGGGAAAGCACTTTCCCATCAGCAAGTGCAAATTCCTTTTTTTTTTTTTTTTTCTCTTTATTCAGTGAAAGGAAATTTAGGAAGGGAAATTTAGACCTCCTGGTTTCCATCCTGCTGGGGTCTGTCCCGCCAGGAAGGGCTCAGATTTGCAGTCAAACTCTCTTTATGGCAGCTCAGCTGGCAGCAGATTGCTCTGCTTTTATCTGGGGGGGGGCAGAAGATAAAGTAATTAAGTTTAATTTCATAGAATCACTGAACCGTTATTAGGTTTGGAAAAGACCTTTAAGATCATCAAGTCCAACCATCAGCCAGCACCACTAAACCATATCCTCAAGTGCCACTTCTTGGACGTTTGGAGTTTAAATTCCTTTGAAATACTGGTAAATTAAATTAATTCGTTAATTACAGCTTTGCAAACACACAAACTTGTTGTTTGCCCTAAGAACCCTCATAACCTTAAAGACAAATCCTTCTGAGCAGAAAACTGAGCCATTATTTCCCCTCTCAGCTTCTCTCCACACATCTCCTGCCTGCTGGGAAGAGGGGGGTCACCTGTGCTGTGTAGAGAATCCCAGAGAGAGACTCAGAACAAGGGAAAAATTTGTACAGGTTGAGGGTAATAAAAGCTTTTCTCACCCTAAATCTTTGGTTTTCTGCAGGCTGGTGTCTCTGAATCCTTCAGCCTGTTCACAACAGACCAAGGACCTCCTGTATGAGAAAGCCAAGGAAGCTTTCTCTGCCCAGCACACCTTTCCTGCTTACTATGAGCTGATTTTACCTTACCTGGGTATGTAAAATCCAGTGTTTCATGGGGGGAGAGGGGTCTCAGCCACGAGCTGAATGGCTATCAAAACCCACCAGAGATTTGGGAAGTTTCAAAGCCAAGTTGTTCAAAGCTTGTCTTTCCAACTTGCAGATGGCATAAAATACTGTCGAGAGATTCTGTGCCTGCCCAGATCAATTGTCAGACTGTCAGAGGGCAAATCAAACTCTTGATTTCTCTCCCAGCCCTTCTCCATGGCACAGACCAGACTTTCTTTTTCCCTCTGAAGCCAAGAATTTATTCCCAGCCTGAGCAAACTCTTCCCACCCCTCTGTCTGTTGTCTGGTATTGCCACAGGTTGGTTTAATTCCCAACACATCAGTAAGTCCCAACAAAAAAAGGAGTAGCAGCCATACATTTTGCAGCTGGGACTCTGGTAGGAGCCCCATTCCTGATGAATTTTGGAGCCATCATTGTGGCTCCAGCTTGTGCAGGTACAAGCACAGATCATTTGGGGGCTTCCATGCTCTGATGTTCTTTTTGGTTCCAGAGGGGGCTCCTGGTAAAGATCTCAAGGCTCTAAGCCAGGCCAACGTGAACATGAACATAAGCACTTTTGTGAGTTTGAGAAGAGATGCTTTGATGGTGAGTTGGATCCTGGAATTGTTGGATTCCTGGTGTTGTGCTCAGTAGTTGGATGGTTGTCCATTGATGGAAATCAGGAGTCATTCCATCAAATTCAGAATGATTCCGGACTGGTAGAAAGTGGAGAACTGGCCTGAAACTTCTTTAAAAGTCTCATTTGGAGTCCTAGATGGAAGCTGAGCCGGTGGAGTTTCTCCAGAGCAGGCTCATAGCACTGGTGGGAGGAGCAGGGGACAGGTGTCCACTGGACTATGGTCACAACTGTGTGACAGATCTTCTAACAAGACTCTTGGCAGTGATGCCATCAATTCTGGGAGAAATCCTAGTGATTTGGGCAGGGACTGGGGCCCCCAGCTGAGTTTAGGAGACTTGTCACCAGAGGACAACAGAAACAGTCTTTGAGGAACCATCGTGCTCATTCCCTGACCCTGAGAGAAGACTGTCCCAGGGGGAACCATGGCAGGGATTGGTCTTCCTTGCTCTTCCCACTCCTGCCAACTGGAACCTCACCATTTCCTTGGCCAGAGGGGTCATTTCTTGTCCAGATGTGTAATTTCCATTCCCACATTTCCACCCCTAACTCCTGCTCTGTGATCCCTCCCAGAGCCTGACGCCCTCGGAGGTTCAGGGCTTGCTGGGGATGAACTTGCCAGACCTGGCCAAGTGGCAGTACAGGTCTCCTGTCCGGGAGTGGATCCAGGTCCAGAAGCAATCCCAGCTGGATCAGCTGCACATCGGGCTCACCGGGGGAACACAGGAAGGCTACATCAACCTCGTCACTCCCAAATTCCCAGGTGGGTGTTTTTAGGACCTCTGAAGGCAGGGTTGGGTTTGAAATACTTGTTTTGGGGTTACAGCGAGGGGAAAAGCTGGGGCAGCAAGTTCAGCTCTGCTGAGGAGCCTGAAGGCCTGTGGGGCAAATCCTGGGGCCAATATGAGGAGCAGTTCTGTAATCCCACGGGGAACATCCTCACTGGCTGAACATCCCAGCTGAGCCAACACCTCCAGGGCTTCCTCCTCTGTGGTGTGTTGGATTTTGGGCTCAGAATCACAGAATCCCAGAATGGTTTGGGTAGGAAGAGACCTTCTAGTTCCAAACCCCAAACTTTGGCTTGGTGGGGCCGTGAGAAAGGCCGAGGAAATCCCTGGATGGGCCACGAGGAGATGTTTTCCCCGTGGAGGAGCAGTTCAGTCGCTGATTCCTTTGCACTAATGCCCCTCTTTGTCCTCCAGCATCGTCCTCAGCCCCTCTGAGTGCCATGGCCACGGCCCTGCATCTCCTGCCTGCCCTGCTCCTCACTTTCCTCACGGTGTCCATGTTGTCCTGACCATCCTCTCTCCAGAGGGAACAAGACCAGGGGTCCCACCCTGTGACCTGCTCTGAGGTCTGTGGGCACAGCCAGCCTGGGGCTGACGGGTGTCCTGAGCACCAGGCAAATGGGATCAGCCCAGCAGTCACTTTTAGGTACTTTTGTCTTTCAAATCACTCGGGGGAAAAACCCAGTTCTGTCTGAAGGGAAGATTCCAGACTCTTCAGAGCAGCATCTTTGCCTTTGGTAGAGCCCAAGTCCCGTTCAGCCCCAACAAAATCACTGCAACCCAAACCACGGGCTTGTTTTGCTGGGGGGTTTGTGGGGTTCTGCAGGTTCAAAATGACATTTCCCAGAGCTTGACCTCGTGACACTGCCAAGACCTCAGAGTGGAAGGGAAGTTTTCTGGCTAATTGTAAATAAATCACGGAATTAAGTAAAAAAATGCTAAAGCAAAGTTGTTGTCTGCTCTTCCTTCAGGCTGCCCAAACTGAGTGGGCAGAGCCCCCAGACCAGCCTGTTACTTTTCCTTGGTGTTGATTATTCAGCTTTTAAGAGCTGAGGGTGTTCTCACCTTCCTCAAGGGGAGGGGAAAGAACTTTAGAGAAGGTTTTAAACAATTTTTTTCCCCCACTCATTGGGAATTTCTGTCCAAAAAATGCCTCAGTATAACCTGTATCCAGCCCCTGACATCCCCCTCTCCCCCAGGGAGGAGAGCCTGGAGGAGAAAGAGGGATATATATATATATATATATATAATGTTATAAATCTTTGCTGTCATTGCTTTACAGAATGAGAGCAGGAGAGCCTGGTCTGTCCTCCAGTGCAGACTTTGGATCTAAGCTAGAAAAAGTACAAAACACCTCAAAGGTTAGGAAAAAAACCCAGCTGATTGATGTTTTATTGTATAGCATTGCACCAGTAATCATAGATAAATGATCTTCAGTGAATCATCCCATCAGAGTCTCTGTGGAGTGGGAGCAGATCTGGATCAAAAAGCAGTTCATGCAGCAAGTGAATGCAGTTTTGGGGCTCTCTCAGCTGCTTTGCTGGGCCGTGTTCTGCTGCTTTTGCAGTGGCCAGTGGCTCAAATCCCTGAGCTGTCCCACTGGTTCACAGATCCCAGTGGGATTCCTTAGAAGGAAAGTCCCTGGTGGAAGTGGGCCCAGTGTTATTGCCCTGGCAGACACTCAGCACTGCTGGTGGTTGCACTACATGGAGTAAACTGCCAGTGAGTACCCGTGGGGCTTCCTTGGGTTGAAAAGTATCAGTTCTCCTTTTGCTGCCCAGCCTCAGAAATAATAATCCCGCTCTGGGCTGGGATCCAGTGGAGGAGTTCTCTTCCTTTTCCAGCACCGTTGTGTTGCAGGGTGGTGGGGATGAAGGAGGGGTGGGGTGGGTGTGGTGCTGAGGGGGGGGCTCAGAGCAGCCCCTGCAGCAGCAAGGTCCCCACGGTGACAGCCAGCACGTGGCTGAGGCAGGAGCACAGGCTGGGTCCTGAATCTGGGGGGAGAACATAAACAATGGGATGATCCAGGGGCAGGACACGTGTGAGCTGAGAGGGGGGTGGAATCCAGGTATCCCAGGGGATCCCATGGGTCAGGACAGCACTTCTCAGCCATTGTCTGTGCCACTGCCTGTACCTGCTCCTCAGGCACTGCCCTGCACCAGCTGGCACTGTCCCCAGGCAGGAGTGAGTCCCCAGTGCCAATAAAGCTGCAGGTGCAGCTCTGCCAGAGCAAAGGAGCTCAGATTTTAGTATTTGCACTCAGGAACACCACGGGCAGCTAAAATAGGGAAGGCCAAACCCACGTGGAGAACAGCCCAGGCACTGGCAGGAGTGGGATTACTCCAGGATTGCTCCAGGATTGCTCCAGCTCTCTGCAGTGCTGGGGGGGTGAGGAGACACCTCAGGGTGCTCCAGGGGCTGCACGGACACCTCACTGCCTGTGAAGCCAGTGCTGAATCCAGCAGGAACAAGGTGGATCATCTGCTCACTGCTGAAGACCTCAGCCTTGCCATCATTCCTAAGCCTTTCCCGACTCAGAACATTCCCACCTCACCCGGCTCAGGCTGAGGCTGCAGGTTGATGTATCCGTTGGATGTTGGTTGTGGTGACTCCGGCACAGCTCCAGGGGTTGGTTTGGTGGTGGTGGAGGAAGGGTTGGGGAATCCTGGAGGGGCACTGCTCTGGCAGGGCACTGTGGTGGCCTCAGGGATGGAGGAGGTGATGCTCTTTTGGGTGGAGAGGGTGGAGTTGGGAGGTGGGGTGGGCTTGTGGGCAGGGGGGTTTGTGGCTGGGGCAGGGGGAGCAGAGGTGGAGAGAGGGACAGGAGGGGCAGTGGTGGGATTAGGGACGGGAGTGCTGGCAGCACTGTGGGTGCTCAGGGTGATGGTGGTGCGGGTGGCAGTGGGAGCAGAGGAGGGATGAGGAAAAGAGGTGGCAGTGGGAGCAGAAGTGGGATGGGGGACAGGGGTGCTGGCAGCATTGTGGGTGCTGGGGATGACAGTGCTGTGGGGGGAAGGAGCAGGGTGGGTGGTCCCCCCAGGTACTGGGGTGCTCACGGGCACCAGTGGGGAGCTGGTGCTGTGGGAGGTACCACCCAGGGCAGGACCAACACTGGTGCTGGTGGTGGCCCTGGAGGTGACAGCAGGGACTGGGACAGAGCTGGGAGAGGTGGTGTTGGGGTTGACAGGGGCCAGGGTGGTGGGGAGGAGGGGGACAGAGGACGGGGTGGATGTATTTGTGGTGGGAGATTGGTGGGTGGAGCACGGGGCGACGGGGGTGG